TTCCACGCTTGTTGAAAAGAAAACCTTGTAGGAGAGGAGTCTCTAACCAAGTCATAGGCAGATGCAAGAGTAAAAACTCCATGTGAATCAGGTTTCCAAATAACTCTCTGATTGTCATCAATATCAATGTTATCCTCACCCAATTCATTGACTTTGCATAATTGTTTCCAAATAAGAGAGTCTTGAAGCCTAGGTCTCATGTCAATTCTATCATACTTGTAATGCATATAGTTTGCCCATAAAGAAGTCCTTTCCTTCCAAGCCCACCAGGCTTTAAGATGAAAAGCATCTTTGAACATCAGATAATGAGCGGACATTTAAACCACCCTCACCAGTGGGTTTGGAAATCTTTCCCCAATTTGTCCAATGATATTTTTGCTTATTATCTGAACTCCCCCCAAAAAATTGAGCCATCAGCCTATTCAAAATATTTTGAACTGGTCTTGGTATTGTAGTTGCAGCTAGATGATGAATTGGTATAAGAGATAAAACATGTTTGATTAAGATCAAACGACCGCTCTGATTCAAGAATTTCTTTTTCCAAGAGCTAAGTTTAGTTTCGAAATGTTCCACCAGATGGTTCCAATGCCTAGCCCTGGTAATGCCTTGATGTATTTGAACCCCCAAGTATTTAAAAGGAAGATGAGTTGCCTGCATGTTTAAAGCATTTTCCATAATGATCTGCCGAGCATTTGAAACTTTTTTGGATACAATAAGGCAACTCTTCTGTAGGTTGACCATTTGTCCAGAAGCCCTTTCATATTGCTGGAGGAAATCAGATAAAGCTTTCAAAGATCTAATAGAGCCATTTGCAAAGACAAGCAGATCATCTGCAAAGGCAAGGTGGGATATGATAGGTAATCCCCTTGCAACCTGATAAGCCCCAATTTTCCTCTTTTCAATGAGAGCATTTATTCCCTAGAGAAACATTCTGAAACCAAGATGAACAGAAAGGGTGACAAGGGATCTCCTTGCTTTACCCCTCTAAAGGGTTGAAAAAACCCATGAACTTGACCATTTACCAGTACAGACAGATGGGTACTTCTGAGATTTGATAGAATAATATCAATAAAAGATCTTTGAAAGCCAAATTTAACAAGGACTTTTTCCAAAAAACACTAAGAAACTCTATCAAAAGCCTTGGTCATGTCCAGCTTGACTGCAACATTATTTCCTCTAACTTTCTTATCCAGAGCATGGATAAGTTCCTTAGCAAGCATAATATGTTGATGAATATCTTTGCCTTGAAGGAAACCAATCTGCTCCTGAGAAATAACCTGATTCATAATAAGCTGCATTCTGGAGGTAATGATTCTAGTACACACTTTATTCATGAAATTTGAAAGACATATGGGTCTAAAATGACTAAAATTTTCAGGAACTGGAATTTTGGGGATTAGGACAATCTGGGCACAAGTCAAAGCAGTAGGCATAGGAATACCCAAAAAAAAATCTTTAACTGCCAAACAAACCTCACCTCCCACAATATGCCAACAAGCTCTAAAGAAGTTACCAGAATAACCATCAGGCCCAGGAGAGCTGTCTTTATCCAAATACCAAACAACTTTTTTAATTTCCTCATCATCAGGAATAGAACATAATTGATGATTCTCAGAATCAGATACCATAGTAGGTAAAGAAGACAACATGTAGACCATAGCTTCATTGTTAGGAACTTCTTCCCTATAAAGATCCTTATAATAATCAACTGCTGCATCACCTATTGATTGTTGATCATGACAAATATTTCCATTCTTATCTGCAATAGAAGTAATCATTTGATGTCTTATTCTAGTTTTCACATAAGTGTGGAAATATTTAGTATTGGCATCACCTTCCTTGAGCCATTTAATATTTGCTTTCTGCCTCCAAAAAAGTTTTGCCTGTTTTAATCTTAGTTTGTACTGAGCCTGAGCCTGTGACCAAGCTTCTCTATTGCACTCAGAAGGGTCACTATCAAACTGAATTTCTGCCTCCTTAGCCCTAGCTTCAGTAAGATTTATTTGATCAAAAATATTTCCAAAGACAGATTTATTTCACTCCTTTAAATCCACTTTTAATCTTTGTAGCTTATGATAAAGGCCTCTCATACCCCCACCTGTTTTGGATGCATTCCAACTTTTATGTACAATATCTTGAAAATTAGGGGAGATCAGCCACATGTTTTGAAATTTAAACTGCCTTGGGCCCTGAAACTGATTTTTTTGCAGGCTAGAACCAAACGAGAATGATCTGATGAAGTTCTGACAAGATGATGTTGAGAGACAGATTCAAACTTATCCAGAAAAGCTTCATTAGCCACAAATCCATCCAACCTTCTCCAAAGCCTCCCTTGAGATCTCACTCCTGGCCAGGTAAAGGGACTCCCTGTATGTGGAATTTGATGTAATTCACAGTGGTCTAGGCAAGCTTTGAAATCATGAATATCATTAATATCTGGAGCAGTTCTACCCTGATGCTCAGTTATAGAAAAGAGAACATTAAAATCTCCCCCAACAACCCAAGGGTCGTTATTATTAGCCCTCCAATTAACAAGCCAATCCCAAAGAGGTAACCTATCTTGCCTGGTATGCTTACCATAAATAGCTGAATAGAAGAAAGACCACCCCCACTTTCTATCAACAACTTTAAAGTGTAAAACTTGATCACTGGTAACAAAATCAGATAAAATAAAATCCTCCTCCTTCCAAAAAACCCAAATTTTATTATCTGATTTGAAAAAACCTTGGTTAAAACCAAGCCTGTTCAGAAAAGAAATAGCTTTATTGACTGAAACAATTGGCTCAATAATAATAATAAGAGAGAGTCCCCATTGCCTTACTAATCCTTGTAGTCTCCGGCAAGAGGAAGAGAGACCACAGGCATTCCAGGATAGAATATTCATTGGGAAATTTTTTGGGCTTCTTCAACCTCCCTCCTTGCTGCAGACCTGGTTTGAATTGGTGGTAGGTATGAATTATAATCCTTTTTTACCCTTTTTTTTCCTTGTTGTCTGAATAGTTATATCTCCAACTTGACTATTTTCAGGATTTTTCTCCATATTCTGCTCAATCAGTTTCACATGTCTGGCAAATGGCTGAAGGATGCTTTGCCATTCTTCTTTTGATAATTTGGAGTTATCCTCAAGTTCTCCACCATCTGAAGTATTGCCATCTTCTATTAATATTGTACGTGGTTTACCAACCCTTTTGATGGAGTCATCTCTATGCCTTAGCTTATTCAGATCAGAACCATAAGAAAGTCCATCCACCAGAGCTCTTGTTTCAGTATATATGCTATCCAATTGAGCATTTTCTGATTTTTTTTAGAGCCGGATCACTCTCCTGATGTTGAGTCACAACTGTCAGTGGGAGCTCTGTTTCAGCATTGACTTGGGGATCAGAGAGAGGATTTATTTTTTGTTTTAGCTTTTGGTTATGCATACTTTGCTTATCCAGTTTCTGCTTGGGTACACACTCTTTCTCCTTTGGGATTGTAGCAATATCCTTTTGTGATGGATCTTTCTTGCAATCAGAATGACCAAGTTTAAGACAATCAATACAATACTTTGGCATGTCCTCATAGGAAACATTTTGAACAAAACCAAATTCTCCATTTTGTAGCCAGATTTTGTGGGGTAATTCTTTGGTGAGATCAACCTCAACACAGACCCTTGCAACTGAGGGTCTTGTAAGATTAGCAGTAGCTGCATCAGACTTTAGGGGTTTGCCAATAAGGTTAGCAATAGAGAAAAGAGCTCTTTTGTCGAAAAAGTGTAGGGGAAGTGCTTCAAAAGCAATCCATACAGGAACGATTGGGGACTCAATATCAGTTCGGAAGTAAGGCGTCCATGTAGAGACCATCATCGTGTGGCCTTGAATGGTCCATGAACGTCTCAATCAACATCTTTGGAAATCCTCTTCAGATTCAAATCGCAAAATAACATGTCGAGGGGCTATAAGATCTAACTGAAAAGAATTCTTAAACCCGATAGATTCTAAGGCTTTTCGAATTACATCCAATTTAGGCCTTCCTTTAACGAACGACCCAACCAAGGCAAAGTGATGTTTACGAGCCAGAGTCTCCACTTCATCTATAGAGAATTCTAGTGATGGCATTCCCTTAAATCTAGAAGGGGTCTTGATCGCAATCTCTTCCTTATTGTCACCAGCCAAAACTGATGCAAAAGAACGAACAGTAGCAAGATCAAGCGGCTTAGCCGCCGTTGAATTCTTGCCGATCATGAATCGCACAAAGCCCTAGTGTTTCGGTGCGGGTATTCATTGGATTCGTCATAATTTTCATCTCTACATTTGACTTACATATGTAAAGATCAGCCACTTGATTACCAAAGTTGAACTAAGCATTATGTAATTCAAATTTCACAAATTACAATTAAACATTAATTGATAGTCGATAGGTAAATATGTGATATGGAGTATCACTAGGAAAATGAAAACAAAATTCTATTATCTACCTAAATCTAGGGCTGGATTCGGGCCAGGTCAGGTCCAGGCCGGGCCTAGTCCCGGACGGGCCGCCAGTTCTGAATAGGTGGACCCGGGACCGGCTCGAATAGCCACCGGGTCCGGGCCAAGCCTCGAGCTAATTACAATTTCTCTTTTTCTAATTACCCCGACCCCCCTCCTCAGCCCTGACCCCCCAAATGGCCCAAAATACCCAGTCCAACCAGGGGATTTAAAAAAATTGAAAAAAAAAAATAGTCCGGAACCGGGCCCGGACCGGCCGGGCCGGTTCATGTTTTGGGTGACCCGAGCCCGGACCGGAAACCCCTCGGGTCGGGCCTACCCGGACCGGTCACTGACCTGACCACCAGTTCAGGTCGGGCCGGAACAGTACCAGTTGCAACTCGGGCCGGTTCCGGGCCTTCCCCAAACACAAAAGGCCCGACCGGGCCTAGGCTGGGCCCGGCTCCACCCCTAATCTCCATTGATGTTTATTACTTTAATAATTATCAAAGTAACACTACCGGGGCATGCCCTGGGTGTTACACTAATACTTTTTCATTTTTAAGATTGTGCAGAGGGCCAATTTTCCCTTGAAAAACTAAAATTATCTACTCTACTAGATAGGTTCAACACTCAAGAGGATTGAATACAAAACATATGGTTGTACAAATTCTGTGACATAATTGTGTGGAAGGCAAATGAATTATAAAAAGTGTGGGGTGAACATCTGGTAGCAAGCATAGTATACCAGAAATGCTCGTAATCCTCGTATCATTAGACAATAATATCCTCGTAATCCTCGGTGCTTATGATTCCTTGATCTTGAAATAGAGAAAAACTTTTCACAAACCCTATTAACCAAGATGTAATTCTTTAGCACATTCAATCAGCGTGTTCGCGGAAGCGTATAATTTTCGCGATAAAAGGCCTCTCCTTTTGATAGCTGAACATAAAAATTATCATAAATAGAATTAGTCAATCAATAGAAGGGCACACATTAAGTACAACGTGTGTGCCGTTTGCATACACACACTGACACACATATAGTCCACTTCTGATCATATATAACCCACTACTCACTTTCCACTTTTGATTATATATAGCACACTACCGCATTCAGGAAATGCACTTTTTGCAACGAAGAAACACTTTAAATTATTTTGAGAAATGTGATTTACATATTTTTAATTTAACCTAATGCATATCTTACATATTCGAGCCATTGTATCCTAAATCTGATGCACCTAATTTATTCTTATTTGTAATGAGAAAGACACTTTTTATTTGATCCAAAATCTAGATGCACATACATAATACATATTATATATACACACAGGCACACATATATATACACACACATACAAATTTATGCATATGTACACACGCGCGCGCACACACATGTATATGCATTATGTGTAATGTATACACTCTTTCCCCAAAGGTCTAGACTCAAATAGAAGAGTGCATTGACATGATATAAGAGAAAAAATGCATAAAATGATACTCACATTATGAAAGCGGCAACAAGAAAACAGATTAACAGAATAAACCAAATGAGAAGTGAACGGTAAAGGTGGCCGAGAAGTTGTCTCGGTTAAGGTACATCTTTTCAAATATGAAGTTGGCTACTCCTGAAACCAACACAAATTCATAACCTCCAGGCATGCAAGCTCTAAACGCAAAGGATGATGATTCCTGCAGCAATTCTAAAATGTCAAAGAAATAATCAAAACTATTATTATGTATGCATTAATAATATCAGAGCTATGCTACCTTGAAATACTTTTTGATGAAAACCGCTGAGTAAACTATCCTGAGGATCATATCTGTTGCAGTCAAAGAAGGCCAGAAGCATAGACTATATGGACCGTCAATTAATCAACACATAACTTCTCAAATTCGAATGACCTCAATTAGAGAAATTTTGAAAAGGATACGCAGAGAGTTTGCTAAAATCAATCCAACTGCGCCTGCTGATCTGATAAGCAAGACGTTAATGATCACATATATCAATGGGAAGGCAAGCAATGAACCATTTGACCGTTTAAGTTCTTTCTTTGTTGCAACTGCCTGTAGAAATGCTTCAGACGTCCCTAATTGAAAATGCAATATCTTATATTTCCAAACAAGCAGATAAAACAATCAACATTACAATGTAGCATAAAATTCGGCAAAAGCCAACTTCGGGATATCTTAACCGACAAACAAAATACAACCAAGTTACATTTGCAAAAATTTACCGCTCGTGGCCAAAACTATCACATAAAGGCAATAACATTGGAGTACTTTGGTAGCTTCTCCATCGCTCCATTTTCTACCATACAGCAATCTGATGAGGGAATATGAATAGCTTTCAGGTAGACAGTTTCTATGGGGCGTAGGCCTCCCAAAAGGTAACGGAGGCGCGCAAAGGTTTCCTCAGGCCAGACGGAGATTGGCCCTCGAGTGCAAAGGCAGAAGGAAGCTTGACTGCAAGACCCACCCGTCGAGCAGGGACGAAAGTCGGCCTTAGTGATCCGACGGTGCCGAGTGGAAGGGCCGTCGCTCAACGGATAAAAGTTACTCTAGGGATAACAGGCTGATCTTCCCCAAGAGCTCACATCGACGGGAAGGTTTGGCACCTCGATGTCGGCTCTTCGCCACCTGGGGCTGTAGTATGTTCCAAGGGTTGGGCTGTTCGCCCATTAAAACGGTACGTGACCAAATGCGATAACAACTAAACCTGTCAATCAAAATGTTAAGCTTTAGGAGAAAAAGGAAAGGAAAAGATGTATTACTGGCTAAAAAACCGCATCATCAAGGGGACTAATACTACCATTCAAAGTCCAGAATTGGACCTTATTATGGAATATTTCTCACCGCATGGAAGAACAATAAACTGACTCGCTCAAACTGAAGTTAAATCCTTCCTATTGATAATTAATTCAATTTTAATAACTAAAATCTACATATTCATAAGCTACATTAAGATCTCTATAAAGCTACAAATCCAAATTAAAACTTAATTAAGAATTGATGTCCTAATTAAGTGAATAAAATGAGTCTGCTTGACCCCAAAAAAGTCAATTTTGCAACACAAACTGGGACGGAGGGAGTATAAGATATTATGTCAGTCCAAACAGCCGGTTCTTAAGGTCAACTCAAAATAATCTTGAAAAAATGTGCAAGTGGTATAATTGACCATTAAAAACCTGTACATCATCAAACATAACCGATTAATTTGTAATACCCAGTTACCTACCAATAAGCAAAACAAGCTTCAGCGCATCTGTCAGACTCCTTCCCAATTTCTCCTTTTTCCGTTCTTGATCTCCTGCAAGTGCACAACTCTTTTGTGATGAATGAATTTGCTCTAAATCTAAGATGAGAATAACTATGGGACCACATCAAGTTGGACATATATGGGCTTATAATCAATTCCTAGATTGAAAACTTATGTCCCTTTACTTGAACACATCTAGAAGGATCAGTTTTCTAATCCTTGTTTATTGAAGACTCTAAAAATACTCCGTATTGTTTTATTTGTTATCTAGTGTTAAATTAATTGAAATTCAGTCCATGGACACTTTATAGTATGGAACCGAGCTAAATTCACTTGGATTCCTTTGTTGCTAAAACTTGGAGGGACCTTGATATGATGTGACTCGTCCTAAAGCAACACGGACCAAAAAGAGCAGAGTATTGCGGAAAGAGTCTTCTAATTGTTGTTCTTGTGGGTATTACTGTTGTTATTATCCAAAGATTATTATTATTAGAATATTAGGATGTTTTACTTGGACTGAATTTTTTAAGTCTGGTCTGGTCTAGTAGATGTCTAGTCTATGTGTATTTTACAATTGTCAAAGTCTGGTCGGTTTCTTAGTATTGTTATTTGTAATTGTTTCCTATTAGTAATTGATATTCTAATTTTGTAATATGTTCATAACAGAAATATTCCAATAGGTTAGTACTCCATTTAGTTGCTCTTCAAGATTTTTGAGTAGTAAAAATAGGACGTTTCTTTCATTAACAACATCATATAATTGCTAGCTTAATTACTGGCTGACAAAGTTGAGTCTCTCGACGAGTCCACCATATCAGGACCTTGCCCAAAGCATTTCAGTCCCTTTAGAATAATAGCATCTATATTCCTGTGGGATGGGTCATTTGTAAAATATAAACAAACAGATTCATAGTTTGATCATCTGTAAGAAGTGATCTCATAATTTGGGTTGTTCCAGTCAGCGACTACACTGCTACATATAAAGTACTACTAACTCCGCCCCCCAAAATTGGGAAAAAGGAGAGTGGTGCGGTTGTTAAGAAAAGTACAGTTATGTGTCTGATAATGAATTGATAAAGTGAAAATGAAGTAAGAATGAATTAGAGCTCAGCCACATGAATATAATCAAATATGATATGGGACAAATTTAGTGGGAAGGACGGAAAAGGAATAATGGGACAATTATAGTGGGACGTGGGGAGTATTATTTATAACTGGACAACAAAATCATTCTATTACATATTTTAAGGAAATAAGCTTTTTAGGCCATGAAAATTAACTTTTTAGGATGCGACCCAAGTGAAAAATATACCTACATATACATGTACATAAGGATCTGATAAAAACCTGATGCAGGCCTTGCAAACGTTGCATATGAGCTTTCTTCAAAGGGAAGAAAAATCAGCCTCACCACTGGGCTCCCTGAAAAAGCAATATGTTATCTCTAGAGCACTGATCAAACAGTGCAAGGGAGATTGAAAAAGATATACACGTGCATGCATAGTCTATATCAAACATCAGATACTATACAAGGGTGGAGCGGGGGGAAAGGAACAAGTGAACGAAAGAAACCCCCCACCAAGTATATGGCCCAGGAATGATTTACCTAGTTTGTCTACAAGTCCATATACTGATTGGTGATATGGTGTATCACACCATACAAGGACCATCCTTTCACCTTCCTGAAGAATCAACTTCTGAACGGATTGAAGATTAAGTATCATGCACATGTTCACAAGCCGTTGATCTATTGAATCAACTTTTTGTATTTCCTATCCTGCAACAACAACATTATCAGTACAGTGAGAACTAAAAGAACTAGTCTCTTAATCTATTGAAAACCCCTATTCAACTCAAATTAGGAAGCTACATTAAACTAAGAAAAAATTACATATTCATGACTAAAATAAAGATTGTTTACAAAAATGCGACTTGTGACTATAGTGGTAATGAAATTATAGTAATTATGTTCAATTTTTAAACTTAAGTTACCATGACACTATAGTAACTATTAGTCATATTTATGTAAGTAAATTTTATTTTAGTAATATTTTTGTAAAAAAAACCTTAAACTAATTCTTTCAGAAAATGCCATGCACACATGGTCCATGTAAGTGCACCAAGACCATTGGTTCTATTGGAAGTCAGAAGTGTTTTCTGGACGACGTCTTTTTAGGATCTTTAGGACAAACGGCCAACCAAAAACTGAAGCACCTTGTAACTGGATAAAATACATAGAAAGGGGTTCAGAGAACTACCAATGTTTAGAAAAGCTAAAATGTGCATTGAGCTGTTTTGAGTCTCGTCACAACGTATGATCATCAATCAAAGTGTAAGCCTCACCATATAAGATAATACCAATAGAAATTCAAACATTAAGTATAAAAACTTTGTTTTGTAACTTCGCATTTTGTATGAAATAAGTACTTATGTATAACTACTTCACTGTTTCATTATACATATCTAACAAGAATAAAAGATGGAAGTACTGTGGGCTACGGCAAATGCATTTTAACACAAGCACCTATTATAGACAATACTGATCTGGATGGCATCTATAAAAACCAGCAGCAATATTTGGATGATATCATTTTGGGATCTAGAAAAAATACTACACTTAAAAAGGGATGTATCTTCAACTTGTGACTTATCAATAATCACAGATACTTCTAAAAACAAGGGCATTATGCGTATGGGATGTGGCGAAAACATTTCCCCTTTTTACTCATTATCTCCTATAATGGGAACATTGCAGGGACAATGCAGTGATGCAACAAAGATTTTGTATTGATAGTCTGGAATAACTTCAAAATATTGGACAGAAGTGTAAGAAAACAAAGATTTATCCTTCCCGTATTTATAATCTACTGCATCTCTTATTATGAATAAACAGTGACATCAACTCTACAGATATATTACAGCATTATTATTATTATTAACTATTGTTTTGCTAACAGTCGACCGTGCACACATCACATCTTTGAACTTCATAGAATTCAGAGAGCTATTAAACTACCAAAACTTCATGCGATGAGTTGTTATCTAAGTAATCTAACAGGAGTCATTCACTGATAAGGGAACCTTCAACCGCGTTTGAATTCCATTATGAAACAAAATTTCTACCCTCCCCCCTTCCGCTTTTACATAGAAAGAATGCACAGCTGAAGATGATTGGAAAAATCAAAATCACTACCGGAACGGAAATAGAACACGAGTTGTGTATAATTGGCACAGAAGAAAGTATGCCCAGTAGCCTATGAAAATAGATGCTCCATACGCAACCTGTGACATCGAAAATACAATTGCTTTCTCCTGCAATTCATGTCATACGTGACTTATCAATAATCAGCAGGTGCAGTTAAACGGACTTGGAAACTACACAAACAGGTAAATTCAGCAATACAATGGCCAAGCAAAACATGAATATAAATTTACAAGTTATAGTTCAGGTAAAAAAAAACCCAGTCAGAATACAAGTGTGCTAACTGAATGTTCTCTAGATCAAGACAGTAAACATACCCAGTATGCCCCAGTTGAAAGTAAGGTCAAGGGAGGGTGACAAGTACATAAAGGTTTGGGAAAGTTGTGAAAGACATGGTCTAGCCTTTAGATAGCAAAGTCATTATACAAACAACTACAAGATGAACATCAAGTAGTGGAACTGTGAAAGGCAATATTTCTAAGAGAAAAAATTGAATCAGCCTTCAGACTCTAGAGTTAAGAGCTCAACTTGAAGCTTTACAAATATTGATGCAGTTACCACAGCCTTAGGAAATATGGTAATGAGGGGGAAATATTCTTCATAATTTCCAAGAACAGACTAAACATAAAGGGTAAGTTCTTTCTTTTAGTCATTTAGTGGTGATATGAAAGGAGATGAAAATTAGGATGCAATTACAAATGTAGATAATAATGCACTGACTAATGTCGTTACTTTCGAAAGTTAGTAGTTAGAAAGTTAGAACCTTATGTGCATGTTTGGTAGGCATAAGTCTCTACCGTCTAGCTTTTGTACTATTTAAAAAGTCTCTAAAAGCTTCTAGTTGTTTGTTTGGCATGACAATTTTTAAATGTTTTTTTTTTTCAAAATAAAAGATCTTTTTTGAGAAGCTAAACTGAGTAGCATTTGAGAACAATCTATAGCTTTTAGCAATAATTAGTCACTAAGTACACTGAATATACCAAACAGAACTAAATCAAACAATAAGCTTTTTATTAAACAGCTACCATCTTTTTCTTTTAGTCACTAAAAGCTTACAGTTACTAAAAAACTCAAAATATTTTTGTAGCTAGTTGTGCCAAACATACCCTAAGACTTGAAATGTTGTATGTTTTTATGATTGGCATGCACATTTTATCATTTCTGTCTTGTTGACTTACTTTTTTTCCTTAAAAGAACAATACTATGTATATTCCAACATTTCAAATTTTGATGTCATTGAACTATCATTATAAACTACAAAATACCTATTTTACCCTGTTTATTATTACGTTATTGGTAGAGAACTCAACAACACAGTAGAGAATTAGTATAATAAATATTGATGAAAAGATTTCAAAATCCAACAGGATTACAATGGTGTAGAAAGAAAGAAAGAGAACATATACTATTGAGACACTTCGGGTAGTCTCACACTCCCAATTCCCAAGTCCCGGTCCCAATGTCCTCCCCCTTTTCCCCTTACCCGCTCATATAATACTATCCTAAAGGGCCGGCCCTCAGCCCTAGATTATTGGTCCTAGGACCCTTTTAATATACAATATTAATAGACTTGGTATTATTCGTATTAGGAGGAGTGTCCGAGTCCCTCATCATCATCTTCATCATCATCATCATCATCATCATTACCCCAGTGCCGCAAAGGCTCCCACCTACGGTGGGGTACGGGGGGTCGGATGTAAGCAGTCTTACCCTTGTACTAAAGCACAAAGAGACTGTTTTCGGATGATCCATAGTGAGAATCGCGTTGAAAATTACATGGACTAACTGCTGCTTCATAACAAAGATGCGCAGACAGTTTAATGAGTCATTTTGCTTTATTCCACCGTATTCTCAAGCCAAAAAATAGTGAGTCTTTGGCTCCATTGTAAATAATGGAAAGACTTTAGCCTTATGCCTCGTGAGGCAGGCGGGCGACTTAGGCTTTCAAAACATTGTTTATTAGACTAAAGTATTAGAGTATTCAGGATTGAAGCATATATTTCTAAAACAAATAATGCAAGGCTAAGTAAATGTCCTATTCACTACTTGACCTTTGATACAGAGTAACTACCAAACAACAGTTTAACTATGCAGACCTAAGTACAAGTTCTTCACATCTTCTATGCAGCGGTGGAGCAGATGTGTCCACCAAGGTTGTCAAAATCGTGATTAGAATTGTAAAATCGTCTGGTTTCATGATTCAAACTAGTTGTGCCAATCCAATCACAAAGAAAATTGTAATTGAGTAAAAATGGTCAAAATCATTGGAATCGTGTCAAATCGCGGTGTTAGCTATCTGTGCAATTTTCAAATATATCAAATTAAACTGTAGCCTGCAACTCAAACAAATCAAAGGTAGTCTAGAAGAATCAAATCCAGTTATTTTTGTGTTTATTAAGCGTCAAACTGAAAGAGAAATATATAAGCTATTTACCACTGAATCAAAATCTTAACATCGAGCCAATAGATCACCGATTGCATTCTTCTCCATAGTTCTTGTTATTCAAATTAAATGAGACATTGAAGGAGATAGGAGATGGTATATTTCACATGTCTTCTCTCCGGGCTTTTTGCTATTGATTGCTATGCCCCGTTTCTTTTTTGGTGTATGTGGCTGATAAAAATGGCCGTTTTTTGAAGGAGAGAAACCATGAAAAGGGAAGTGCTTGGATTTGTAGATTTGCTGTGGGTAACTTTACAGGATGGGTTAGATCACATTTGAAGTGGTTTTAACCCATTTTTTAATTTATTAATCAAACTTTTATTTTTAATTTTCTTGTCACTAATTTTAGGACTTTTTAATCACTTTTAGTAAAAAAAATCGATTCATGATTTCGTGTTTTATTTAGTTCACCAGTTCGATTCCAATTTACGGTTTTGACATCCTTGGTGTCCACATTATGAAATACGAAATGTAATTCATCTAGGTCTTATTACTCTTATCATATCACACGGGACTCGCATAAGTTTATTTTACCATACTGAATTACTGATACACTTAATACCAGCATAGGCCCCGCAAGGAAACCACAAAACACATCTAGCATTACTACTTACCGAGCTTGGTTGCTTCAGGATGAGAGCATATGTTACTATACAACGTGAAAGAGTGGCAGCAGTTTCAACAATCAGCCGCAATTTGAGAAGAGCCAATTTTTGGGCCAAAATAAAGAATGGTTCTGCCAGTAGCTCAAGAATGCATGCAAAACCTGCATGTGATTTTTTTACATATTAAAACACAATTCACAACTATTGAACAAAAAAATGATGGAAGAAAACTTAATTACAGAGTATACTAAACAACCATTCTCTTTCTCCACCAGAAAATATGATCAGAAGGTAAAGAGCACGCATGCAAACCCATTTTCAACAATCCGCTCCCCACAATCAATTATTAATGAATAATGTCAGGTGCTTATGCTTATAGTAAAAACCTTTGAACAATAATAAAAAACCAACAGATGACACAGACAACAATTAAATGGCAACATTAATAAAGCAAAAAAGGACCGAAACATTTAAGTTTGCCTCTTGGACTCTTAGTGCCGTTAAAAGTTGAGCTGTCACTCCCGGAATATTTATTTTAGCTTTCCCCCAAAAATGCATTCCGAATTTAGAATCACCTTTTTATTAACTTTGTCCAATTCTAACAATCTACAACCCTTAAGACATAGCTTGCGTGTTAATGCGCTAGGATAATTAATTTCGTGAAGCATGTGATAGTGTTATTAGCTTCTTACCATTAATCAAGATAGCTCGTCCATAAGGACTGGAATAACCCAGATCTTGCCACCAGAATACAATCAAACAAGCAGAAAATGTGACCAGTACCCCTAATGGGAAGGTCATCCAGGCGACTTTCAAAATCTGAGCTTCAGTTTCTCCTGCTGCTGAATCACCATCCCTGCAAAATCAAATTTTCAGATTACTTTAACAAAACTGTACGGAGATGCAAAATTAACATTTCACGTGTGCTTGATTTCAGTACATTCATCACCATCACCACCTTAATATAAACAATGTTGGGTCAGCGGCATGAAAGTGATGTCATATAATGTAAGAAATAATGTAAGAAATAATGAAATATTCAAAACCATCACCGATCATTGATAAAAGTTACTCATTACGGAGAAAATATCATGAGACAGCTTGGGTTGAGATAGTTGATATAGTCGCTATGTAATGCACCAGACCACTAAGCAAAAAATTACCTTATATGAAACAAAATGAAAGAAGCTTTATGTATCCAGATATGCAGTCTATGCCATCTATATGAAAAATAATGACAAGGAATCTGCAGGGTGCTATGACCATTTGAAGAGAGCAGAAAAATAAAATATCAACGGGATAAACTGCTGCCCAGATAATCAACGATAAAAACTGTTGCCCAGAGCCAAAAGGCTAAAATCTAACTTTATTACACGATGGTCAAGAATGAATCAAACGAGGGGTTTAAATAACCCTTTAAGTCTAAAAAGAATAGGAATCCTAATTAAATCATAATAGAAAACCTCTAATTCTAATTGAAGTCCAAATTAAACCATTCTAGGAAACTAAATAGAATAGGAAACATCTAACTCTAATAGAAGTCCTAATTAAATCATACTAGGCAACAAAATAAGATAGGAAACATGTTAAAAGGAAATAACTAAAGGAATTAGTTAAAATAACTAAGCCAGGCCACGGAAGGTGGGCTCAAGCCCGTCCCCGCCCAATGTTCTTCCTGCTCTCTATCAATCCATCCTCCTTTCAAATAACCTTGTCCTCAAGGTTGAAATCTCGTAGATCGAGGGCTGAAAATTCCAGCCACAGAATAGAGTGGAAAATATCCCTCATCTCCTTCCGGACCCCCTGGCATTTGTGAACCTTTTCGTGGCCGGTTATTTCACAATACTCATGTTGTTGGAGATCCAACTCCCCATCCTCCTCAACTATCATTAACCGTAGCTGCTTAAAGGGGCAGTCATGCCCCGGTGTAAATGGCTTCTCACACCTAAAGCATAATCCTTTTGCCCGCAATTCTGCTAACTTTTTCGGCGGAAGTCGATTGAACCTAGAGCGTGCAATAGACTGCCCGGACAGCCCTGAATTTGTCCCCGGGGACTGCCCACTATCTTTTGGGAAGCTGCAATTCGATCCCTGTATGCTGCCACCACTGGCAGTCAGCAGAGGACCCGTGTTTGGCAGTGAAAAGCTGCTGGAACGTGTCCCTATAGGATTATAATTTGGACTGCCTCTTCCTCGACTCTGAACCGACAGATTGTACTCCACATCGCGAGCTAACTCCATGACCTCTTCCAAGTTATTCGGCCAAAATAAGCGCAACGAGCTTCGGATTGATTCTTTCAGTCCATTCATGTAGTATCCCAAATAATGTTCATCAGACAACTCCGGAACTTGGCTGGCTAACTGCACAAACAGGGTATCGTAGTCCTCCACTAACCCAACCTGTTTGATGCCGGACAGCCGTTCAAACTTGTTCCCCTTAAATTGGGAGTCAAATCTGGCCACCAAAGCTTGCTTGAATTCCTCCCAGGTCATGTCGGGTTTGCGTGCTCTCAGCCAGGTTACCCAATAGAGGGCAGCCCCTTCCATGGCAACCACAGCTACAGCCACTTTTCTGTTTAGTAGGATCCCGTTGAGTTCAAACTGGTGTTTAACCCTAGTGATCCACCCAATCGGGTCTTTGCCGTCGAACGAGGGAAGCAGGGCGGTGCTGCACAACCCTCCGTCGTTTGATTGCGCAGATGCGACATGCGCGAAAGAGCCGCTGTCGCGGGCCGATGTCAGTGTCTTCTCCGGCGGTATTATGACCTTCGCGATCGCAGCGATAGAAGCCGCGATCGCAGTGAGAGAAGCCGCGATCTCTGCGAGTTTGGCGCCATGCTCCTCCGATTTCTGCCCTTGCTCCTCTGAGTTCTGCCCTTGCTCCTCTAATTTCTGCCCTTGCGCATCGAGTTTCTGATTGATTAGGGTTTGCTTGGCCTCCAGCCCCGTCAAACGATCGTTCTGGGATCTCGTCATTCCGGCGGGACGGGATCCAGCAGGTCAGACTAATTGATGAGAGTAGAAAAATAAAATATCAACGGGGTAAACAGTTGCCCAAATAATCAACGAAAAAAATCGTTGCCCAGAGCCAAAAAGCTAAAATCCAACTTTATTCCGCGATGGTCAAGAATGAATCATACAAGGGGTTTAAATAACCCTTTAAGTCTAAAAAGAATAGGAATCCTAATTAAATCATAATAGGAAACTAAATAGAATAGGAAGCCTTTAAAATTCTAATAGAAGTCCTAATTAAACCATTCTAGGGAAATAAAAAGAATAGGAAACCCCCAACTCTAATAGAAGTCCTAATCAAATCATACTAGGCAACAAAATAAAATAGGAAACATTATAAAAGGAAATAACTAAAGGAATTAATTAAAATAATTAAGCCGGCCCACGGAATGTGGGCTCAAGCCCGTCCATGCCCCACGTTCTTCCTGCTCTCTATCACCATGTTCCATTAAAATCGCATCAGTACATATCAACAATTAAAAGGAAGCAAGTCACTCAGGCATACTGAAGGCAACCAACTGGGTGAGACAAGAATTGGGGGATCAACAAAATGTGCATATTGAAGGCAATAACAATGCTCATGAACCGAATTGAAAATACCATGTAATATCTTCCCTCATGCAAATTCGCCTGAATCCCTCTCTACTCAAAAACAATATGCATGTCACAAACAGATGGAATTGTACAGCACAAACCTGCATTGTGTAAAAATAAACTTTACATGGTACTTCAAGATACAAAAAAAAAAAAAAAAACAGGTAGCATTTACAGAAAAGTAATAATTCCTCAAGAAGATTTGGGATATATTGAAACTAGACATTGTTAAATCACATTCTTATTTGCCACACATTCATTGGGCAATGAAAAATAGTTCTGTGATCATCAATCAAACAGACGTGTGCCACATAGGAATGTCTATCAATAATGCATCTTTTTCATTTCCGCAAAATTACTCACCGTGCTTACATACATATCGTCTTACATACATATCGTCTTCTACAGAGACAGAGATAAAAGGATCACTTACATAAAATCATATTAATTAAAATGCATAATTTAAATATAGTGAGGCTCCAAGACTCGAACTATGCTCTTGATAGTTGATATCTTTGCAAATGAACATGTTAAACTTTGAAAGGGCCTGAATAAGTCCAGTGTAGGGTTGTAAACACATAGAATAATTTATGCTCGATTCGCAATTCAAATTCGTATAAGGTTATTCGGATTCGAAAATTTCAAATACAAATAAGAATACTAAATTTGATTAATTGTTATCAAATACAATGAAGAATATCAATGTATTGGATTCGAATGTTAATCAAATATATTCGATAAATAATAGTGATAATATTAACAATAATAATAGTGATAACATTATTATAATTATTAAAAGATAGATATACCCGCAAAGTGTAGCCCATGTATACATTTATGTACACAAATTCCAAGCCTATTTGTAACAAATCAGAAGTACCATACGGAGTAAGGGTTGTAAATGAAGCAAATAACTTTAATTCGATTCGTGATTTGAATTCAAAAATATTGATTTATTTTTGAAAATATAAAATATAAATAGAAATACAAATCGGATTTTTGGTTCAAATATCTTTCAAATACGAATACAAATGATTATGTATTCAATTCAAAGAATAACCAAATATATTCGTTTATACATATACAAAATCAACTACATAATATGCATTTGCATGCATCAACTGTCCTCTATGTGTGTGTAGTTTAAATTATTCTCCGTATATCTAATGGATTTTTATTAGCAGCAACGCTAAATATAAAACATAAAATTAGAGTAGTTTGACTTTGGTATATACAATTATCAACTTATTTCACACATGATAAGTATAATTTCTAATATGTGTGCGTTAGTGTTCATTTCAAAATGTTTCGAACAGATGTATATTTAAAAAATCATAAAATTGATTCACTATATTATATTATACACAATCTAAAAGTGCATTGATCCATTAATTTTTAAGAAAATATAATGTTACAAATCAAATTCTAAAAAAACATATTAAGTCACAACATTCATTTATAACATAAAAATATAGGAAAAGTTATTTTGAAGTGATATTTGTCTAATATTTAGCTTATGCTCAAATCGATTCGATATTCGTATATGATTTGTTAACTATTCGTATTGTTAAACAAATACAAATCGAAATTTATATTCGTTTCATATTCGAATTTGGATTTGTATTCAAAAAAATTAAACAAATACAAATACAAAATCTCACTATTCGACTCGATTCGGTTCCTTTACAACCCTAGTCCAGTGTAACCATTCTCAATCAATTTCGAGAAGACACGTGAATGTTCAACATACCATTTTTATAATAACTCGTGATGGACCGACAAGTGTTTTTCTTTGAGTTCTGATTTAGCCAAACCATCAGATTTAATTGCTTCCAAACAAAGCATAAACCATCAGCATGCTTCCATCATTTCTCATAAAGTTGATTACAAATTCTCAATCGCCAAGAAGAACAAATTCTTTTTCCTCGATATACTACCATAACTTTTTTACATTCTCTCCCCCAAAGCAAAGCTACTAAACCATAAGGAATTATTGAAACTAATTATAAAAACAATAGTTAGAGTTCAAAAAACTGTAATTTACCACATAATCTTCTTCTGATAGATGTCTAACAATCCGGGAATTGAATACGAACGGGATTCCCCTTGACAGAAATTGTGTAGCTGAAAATGGAGATCATTGTTATACACGTATACAGTTATGTATAATACTGGACCACACAGGGAGGACATTTAACTTAATATTCAAATTGACAAACCTAGTAGGTATTTGAAAGTGCGGTGGAAACTCGAATCAACAGCGGTGTTTTCCATTTCTCTTTTAATAGACTTGTTTTGTTTCCCTGCATCGGTATAGTAAGTGTTGTTTTGGGTTAAAATATACGGAGTATATAAATACTTGTGAAGTGAAATTAAATTTATAAACGGAAGCAGACCCCTAAAATCGGCAAGGCAGGGGAGCTTGTTGCGTCCCTGAAATTCCGGTCTCTAACGAGGCGAGCGGCGGCAAGAGGAATCTGGAAGGCCGGAATGAGAAACTGAAAGTCGGAAGTTCTGCCCGGAGTCTGGACGCGTCAACCGTCCGCTTCCTATTGTCTGTTGCTGCGCACAGGATGGCAGGAGGGATTGAGGGGCTCTGTTGGGCTGAGTAGATGGGCACTTCGGCTAGCGGGCTGTGTGGTGGGCTGAGTGGTTCAGGCTAGAGAAATGAGCATGAGAATTAGAGCCCATTTGGTAATACACAAATCGACTGCATTGACTTATTCTGCTGAAATTTATGAAGTTCTGGTCGAAGTGACAGTATTGGCTGATTTATGAAAGAAAGGTTATTAAGTAAATATCTTATTATTTCAAAAATCAAGCATTCAGCGCGCAAAATCAAAAAGCGAAAAATATCGTCACCAAATAGGCTCTGAATTTGGATTGTTGGACAATATTATGTGAAAATGAATTGTGTTTAAATGTGCATTAGAAAAAATTGAATTGTGAATAGCAAAAGATAAAGCTCAATTATGCGTCTATATTAGGTAAAATTGAAATGTGTAGAATAAAAGGTATAAAGATGTCACCGCATCGTACATTTTATTCTGCACATTTCAGTTTCACCTAATGCACGATTCATCTTCAAATAATTTCATTGTGTTATACCCTTTGTGATTCATATTTCAATTTTATCTAATTCACACTTCAGTTTCATCTCATGCACATTCAATCTCACATAACACAATCTAACAGTTCAGATTCATCTTCACATAGTTTCTATATTAGTTATATAAATAACACTAATGTATATGATATGGTGTATCCTTGATATTAAAAAATTATATTGAAAATTAAGTATTAATATAAGAACCGAATAATGCTCAATTCGTTTCAAATTTAAACCTAGAGAAAATATTGTTTTAAAACAATTTATTCTTTTTTGGTGTATTTACCAACCTGATGTCTGTTATATGTTCTATCATCGTTAATATAAAAGTGTGGAGTAGGAAAAAATGTGTAACCTTTTCATCCATGAAAATCATTTCAATGGATTTGATGTCTCGACTTTTCTCTCCAAAAAGGGCATTCCATTTCCGAGTCACTCTCACCAGGAAAGCAGAATTGCTTGGTAAGTTCTTCACAACGTCTCCCAGATACACCTTTTTAGGCGCCATTGTTCCTATAAATGAAGTAGATGAGAAAGATAAAAAAAATAGAATTCATGAAGTGGTTGTGAAAGTTAAAAAAACATGAATAAATTTACAAAATAGAAAAAATAATATCTAAAATCACAAGAAAGAGTAATTAATATAGCAATCAGAAATGTCATAGATAAATAGAATCATATAATAATCTGGAATGACTCCTAATGATAAATGTCAGAATTTTTTTATTTGTGAATAAAAAGGTGGCAATCTATCCAACCACAATTTATCATTATTCATTAAATAATTAATAAATACCTTCATATAAAATCTCAAGAAAGAGTAATTAGTATAAAAAATCTCAAACGTAATATATAAAAGAGGGTGACAAAATAATCTGGTAAGATTACTAATGTTAAATATCAGAATTTGGTTTGGTGAAAACCATACTTGGTGAACAAAATTTGCTCACCAAACCAAACTTGCTTTAAAGATTTAGCCATACTAATGAAATTAAGCTGTCAAGAGATATGGTCCGAAACTCTGATAAGACACTCACAGCAACTTCTAAAGAAAGTATTCATGCAGTCCAAACCTAGTGAGTAAAAATGAGCCAATTATGCTCAATTGGATAAAACCTAGTGATAATTTTGGTTTAAACCATGTATATTTTATATGTCATATTAGCTTAAAACTGATCCAATTGCATGCAGTCCAAACCCAAAAAAAAAGTCAGCACCTAAGCGTTATTCATGTAGTGTATAATCATTAACATGTAAAACTACAGTTAGTAGAACATATAAATTAAACATAAAGGACTCAGTAGGCAAAAAAGTCTGAGTAATGATACCACAAATTCCCAGGGAGACATATTTGAATTTCTTCAGCTGCACTTGAGAGGTGAGCCTATGTCAAACTGGAAAGGGCATTTATTACATGTGATTATTGAAAAGTATAGGAATGAAAAGTACAGGAATAAGTGAAACATAGAACATATTCATACCCATTAATTGCAGTATAACCTTCAAATGTATCATCAATCTTTCTTTTATTCATTCCAACTACAGTAGGTCCATCAACCTTATGTGAAATGGCATTATCTCCTTGCATGACAGGATCATAAGATGAACAGGTTAGTCATCTCATTTGGTTTGATTTTCGATCTTAAAATGTCAGATTTATTTCCTAATGTGAACACTTTCTCGAAATCCTTGGTCTCCATCTCTGAACTGAAACTAAGATTACCAATTTGGTGGATTTGATTCCTTACCATCATTGAACCCCACCATCCAAACTTGTCAGCAGAAAAGAGACTTCATGAAATGGTTCAACATGGAAATTTAAGATACTGAACAATTATAAGCAAACCAGGCAGCCCTGCAATTAGCCATATGTGTATCTTTCTTTCATGAAGCTATAATTGAATATATAATCTATATATACATAAACCAAAATTGATCAACTGGACTTAATTATCAGAAATTTAAATCTGATAATGAAGATTGTAAGAATAATGAATGGGAAAACTTAACTTTATGAAGAAGGGTATGAAATTATATTTGAAGAAGAAAGCTATAAGCCCCATGTCCTCCCCAGCGATGGAGATATCCTCTTCCACTGTGGCTGAGAGAGGTAGACGGAGGTGGTCAATATCTTCAATTCTAGCAATGATCGCCGGCTTGGTGCCTTGGTTTGGAGGGTTTCTAAATACGATGGATAAAATGGAGCCGTGACGCGGTGAATTGACCATACCCTAAACTGAATCAGATGGATTTGAAAGTGAAGTGTGAATTATGGAAGAAGAACTCATCGAAATCACAGGAGTTGCTTCTGGTGGAATTGGAGAAGAAAAGAAAAGGTGGAAAATTGGAGAAATACGGGTGTAGGCTGAAGAGGATAAGGGAGGAGCGATTAGCCTTAGCGAAGAAAATTACGGAATAGACCTTTGCACCAGGGCAGAACTTTCTCGCTCCAGTGTAGTTGTAACACCCCGATTTTAGCGATCTAGTTACTTTAATCTTTTATTTTATGTAGTCAGTTAAATAAGTTTATTGTATGAATAATGTGATTTATTGTTTGATCATGTGTTGTTTTGGTAGGTAATGTTGACCGGTAAGCTCTAAGAATTTTAAGTGAAGAAATAAGTAATGTTTTAAAGACTAATCAGTTTAGTTTGAAATAGAAAATACTTTTAATGTTAGGAACATTTTATTAAGAGATGATTAGAAGCCCAATTCAGTTAACTAACCCTAGATAAATATGTTTAAGTTTGAAATCCCAAAAAAATGGTCATACGTGATATTAAAACCAAAGACCTACAACATGCGTTATTGCGTTTCCATCCTCGGATCGGCAGCCGCTCATGCTCTCTGAAAAGAAAAAAAAAATAAAGTTTTCGTTAGTTCAATTACCATCAAAAGTCTTCTTCATTTTGAATCAACATCTCAGACTTGGTACGTAAGATAAATTTCCATTCTCTGTACCTATGTTGTTTTATTAGTATTGTTCAAAACTCTGAGTTTCGAGTTTTGTTAATCCCATTAATTAATGTTTTAAAGGTCTATAAAGTGATTTCATAAGTGTAATATGATTCGGATATGCATATATTTACAATGATTTTGTTGACCGCAGATTTTTATGGTAGTTGTTTTTAAAATCAATTAAGATATGTAGTTAATCCTATTTAAAAACCTAGTATTTAATCTCATATATGAATGTCCTGTTCCAGAGGGCTTCACCATTGTTTTTTTAGAAAAGTTTTAAATGGGTTACTGTGTTTGAAGATTCCGTTCCGCAATTTTTCATCATTCCAAATCCAGCTATGCAGTAGACCAAACTCGTAGTTAGTTTTTCCTGATTTGGGTTTTACCAAGCAGAAATTTGATTATTCATTTACGTAATTAAAGTTTAACTTCATTTTTATACCCCACAATTAGTATATTATATTTTATTAATACGGCTGAGACTCATGTACGTAAAGGAAGTTTTACTTCCTAGCATATCCAAGTTGAGTGTACATGATTGAGTTGGAAGACCTATTTCAAAATTTTGTTGTAATTGGTGGGCATCAGTAGCATATATTTTCTCTAGCAGATTAGTTTATTTGGAAATTAAGATTCCTATTATAATAATTACTATATTTAATTAAAGATTTAAGAGAAGAGCTTACTGGGAGACGTTATCAAGGTGCCATACTTATCTGAGTGTTTTGAATTCAGCTTTTATCAGGTAAGTTCACTACCACCTGTACATGTTTGTTCAACCAAATGCAAGAAAGAAGTCTGGTTGATTTTTAATAGATAATTTTAGACTATTTGCCATTATGTGAACTATGTGAATTATGTGATGAGTTATGTTATTTGCTAGATTAAGTTATGTTTATTATCTGGCATAGTCAAGATCTGTCAGTACTTTTGTTTCAGAATTAATGATGTTTTTAGTCAAACGTCACCATAAAAAGAACTAATACTTAAAGTGAAAGATCATGTGATATGTACTCGGGAACAAGTTCCCTCAGTTTACCAGTTATCAGCTTATCAGTTTCAGAGAGTCCGATATGCTTAGTGGGTCGCTCCCCTGAGCTGTCGGGTTGGCGCCTTTGAGTACATATCACGGGCCCACAGTTAAAATTAGCCACAAAGAGTTTTACAGAAAGTTTATGAGATCTCCTTCAGAGAGTTTTACAGAAAGACGTTTTTGAGATCTCTTTCAGAAAGTTTTACAGAGATGTTTGAAAAAGATATTTTGAGATCTCTTCAGCAGTTTTGAGAAATTATTTTAGAAAAATATTTTCCTTTTGAGATCTCACTCAGAATGTATTTGAGAAGTTATGTGTTAGTTATTTGTTCAGTGCATGCTTATAGCCTAATTTATCTATTGATGAATTGGCTTAGACTTCTAGATATTTTTGTGGATCCATAGTGACTTACTAAGCGTAAAGCTTATCAGTTTTCTTTCTTCGCATGTACAGATACTAAGGGTAAGGCCAAGGCCTAGGAAGATGACGAGAGAGTGGAACGCGTGCCAAGATGAGTTAACGGGAACGACCTTGGCGGCTTTTAGCTAGATATTATTTTGTCTCAGTAATTCAGTCTTATAATAAAGAGATTATTATTATTTTATTTTATTTTAGAATTTGAAGTTTTTGAATAAATTCCTGGATCCAGGTGGTTATCACATTTGCTGGTGATAACTAGATTTTATTGAGTTTAAATGTTAGTTATATTTTTGTTATGTTTGAATTTTTATCAGGGTTATTTCTTAAACAAACGGCCGTTATATTACAGTTAATTTTTAAAAGTAGTATGTTAATGTAACGTTTCCTTTAACCCTGAGAGGGGCGTTACAGTAGTGCTTTTAGGTATAGGATAGGATACGATACAATGAAAAGCAGAAAATCTTATACTACCTCCGTCCCATTTTACTTAGCCATCTTTGACTTGAAAAGTCAAGTTTGGCTAAGTAAATTGGGACGGAGGGAGTATTTTATTAGTTATAGGACAAATAATAGAAAAAAGTAATCAATATATAATTAAAATAAATGGGGCGGGCACAAACAAGTAATGGGCGCGTGCATGTACAAAACTGTAACTGCTCGGGTTACCATAAAAATGGGCATTCTCCTCTCCATACCCGTTACACGATCAATGCAATTTTCCAAGTTTTGAACGAAGTGTTTCCGTGCGGGTATTCATTGGATTTGTCATAATTTTCATCTCTACATTTGACTTACATATGTACAGACCAGCCACTTGATTACCAAAGTTGAACTAAGCATTATGTAGTTCAAATTTCACAAACTACAATTAAACATTAATTGATAGTCGATACGTAAATATGTGATATGGAGTATCACTTTAGGAAAATGAAAACAAAATTCTATTATCTACCTAAATCTAGGGCTGGATTCGGGCCGGGTCAGGTCCGGGCCTAGTCCAGGGCCGGGCCTAGTCCCGGGCGGGCCGCCGTTTTTGAATAGGTGGACCCGGGACCGGCCCGAATAGCCACCGAGTCCAGGCCAGTCCGGGCCAGGCCTCGAGCTAATTAAAATTTTTTTTCCTTTTTCTAATTACCCCCGGCCCCCCACCCCGACCCCCCGCCCGACCCCTCCTCCTCAGCCCATACCCCCCAAACCACCCCAAATGGCCCAAAATACCCAGTCCAACCAAGGGATTTAAAAAAATTGAAAAAAAAAATAGTTTGGAACCGAGCCCGGACCGGCCAGGCCGGTTCATGTTTTGGGTGACCCGAGCCCGGATCGGAAACCCCTCGGGTCGGGTCTACCCGGACCGGTCACTGACCGGGCCACCGGTTCGGGCCGAGTCCACATCTACCTAAATCATATGGACTAAAAGGTTATGTTGTTGGGTAATTATTATACTATTTTTGTACAAATTTAACTTTAAGAGTGGATTCTAACCAATCAAATTTCCACAACTCTAATACATATTGGAAATGGTTTAAAACTTCATTCAGTGGAGGAGAAGTGCACAATACAATGACAAATTTTGTGTGCAAAAAGCTTTGATTTAGTTTATAGCTTTTGAACACTCTCTAATACTTCGCGCATTCATATTTTCAAAACTACAATAAATTATATACATATTAATGCTTTTGAATCGACCATTCTTATATCTTAATAAAATATTATTGCACAAGTTCTTCTTTACTCATACTCCATCCGTCCCATGGGATTTTAACAACTTTCTCTTTCGATTGTCCAAAAAACTGTCTCTTTCTCATTAAAGTAAATAATTTATGATTTTGCTCATTTATCTCTCTTCTAGACAAAACTCAATTACACAACATTTTTAGTTTTCTTATTTCTAACCTAATTCAAAGGGTGCAATGTCCACCAAGATGGAGGTAATATTATAAATTTACATGATTGTGTGAATATCATTAATCTCCATTAGGCTTGGAACCGGTTCGGGCCACCCGGTCAGGGAACAGGCCTAGCCCAGTACTATGTGGGCCTAAGGATGGCAATGGGGGCGGGGGCCGTGGGGAACCGCCCCGTGGTGGGGAGTTGGGGCGGGTGGTGGGGTGGGGGAGATATTTTCTCCCCGCATAAATATGGGGCGGGTGATGGGTTATGCACCCCCGCCCCGTCCCCGTCCCCGCCCCGTCCCCCGTAATAATTAATAATAATAATCTCAATAATAATACTAATAATAATAGTAATACTTATACGAAGTAATTAAAATAGCATGGTGGCCCGGTGGGTTTAGTGGTTTCCTATCTAATGGATTGTGCGTAATGGATCTATCTAATTCTTGTTTAATAACTAAGCTATCTTGTAAAATTGCTTATAAAAATCATAAAGTAAAATGATTGTTTTTAGAGATAAAATAAAATGAATTTGGGAAAGTTATAAAGTGATATTAGCTTAAACGCCTCAGGCACGGTGAGAAAGTTTTTTTCATTTACTATTATAATGCATTAATTATTTTCTTTTGAATGTCATCTTTATGATTGTAGTTAGGGCTCTTAAAATTTGGTGATCATATGTCGTCCTAGATGCCGTCAAATGACCATGATTGATTGAATGCAGGGTTTAAGAAAATATTATAGAGCTAATCAATGCTAATTTAGAGTTTGATAAAAATTACTAATTTAGAACGCGTATAATGTATTCTAGATTTGAAATGGGATGTAAGATTACATTGACAATTAAAAAGTAAAAAAAAAATTGGCTACTAGAAGTGTTGTTAAATTTTTGAAAAATTGTTAGAGTCTAAATTGTTAGAGTAGTTCCCCGTTGGGTACCCGTGGGTCTAGCAGGTCGGGGCGGGGGATGGGGCGGGTCGAATAGTAGTGGGGGATGGGGCGGGGGTGGGGGCGATTTTTTAGACACGGGGCGGGGGATGGGGGAGTGAACCCCCGCCCCAACCCCGCCCCATTGCCATCCCTATGTGGGCCCGGCCCAGGAACCGGGTACCGGTTCCAAGTCTGAGCCCGATTTGGGGGAAATCAGGCCGGGTAGTCAGGTACAAGTCAGGGAAATATGAAGCCGGCCCGGCCGGTCCTGGGCCCAGTTCGGACTTCATTCTTTTTTTTTTTTTTTTTTTTCATTTTTTTTTAATTTCCCAGGTTAGGTCGGGTATTTTGGACCATTTGGCGTGGTTTGGGGGGGAGTCGGGGGTTAATTTGAAAAAGAGAAAAAAAATTAAACTTGAACCGAGGCCAGGCCCGACCCGGTTGCAAATCGGGCCGGTCTCGGGCCTTCCCCAAACACAAAAGGCCCGACCGGGCCTAGGCTGGGCCCGGCTCCACCCCTAATCTCCATTGATGTTTATTACTTTAATAATTATCAAAGTAACACTACCGGGGCATGCCCCGGGTGTTACACTAGTACTTTTTCATTTTTAAGATTGTGGAAAGGGCCAATTTTCCCTTGAAAAACTAAAATTATCTACTCTACTAGATAGGTTCAACACTCAAGAGGATTGAATACAAAACATATGGTTGTACAAATTCCGTGACATAATTGTGTGGAAGGCAAATGAATTATAAAAAGTGTGGGGTGAACATCTGGTAGCAAGCATAGTATACCACCAGAAATGCTCGTAATCCTCGTATCATTAGACAATAATATCCTCGTAATCCTCGGTGCTTATGATTCCTTGATCTTGAAATAGAGAAAAACTTTTCACAAACCCTATTAACCAAGATGTAATTCTTTAGCACATTCAATCAGCGTGTTCGCGGAAGCGTATAATTTTCGCGATAAAAGGCCTCTCCTTTTGATAGCTGAACATAAAAATTATCATAAATAGAATTAGTCAATCAATAGAAGGGCACACATTAAGTACAACGTGTGTGCCGTTTGCATACACACACTGACACACATATAGAGTCCACTTCTGATCATATATAACCCACTACTCACTTTCCACTTTTGATTATATATAGCACACTACCGCATTCAGGAAATGCACTTTTTGCAACGAAGAAACACTTTAAATTATTTTGAGAAATGTAATTTACATATTTTTAATTTAACCTAATGCATATTTTACATATTCGAGCCATTGTATCCTAAATCTGATGCACCTAATTTATTCTTATTTCTAATGAGAAAGACACTTTTTATTTGATCCAAAATCTAGATGCACATACATAATACATATTATATATACACAGGCACACATATATATACACACACATACAAATTTATGCATATGTACACACGCGCGCGCACACACATGTATATGCATTATGTGTAATGTATACACTCTTTCCCCAAAGGTCTAGACTCAAATAGAAGAGTGCATTGACATGATATAAGAGAAAAAAATGCATAAAATGATACTCACATTATGAAAGCGGCCACAAGAAAACAGAATAAACCAAATGAGAAGTGAACGGTAAAGGTGGCCGAGAAGCTGTCTCGGTTAAGGTACATCTTTTCAACTATGAAGGTGGCTACTCCTGAAACCAACACAAATTCATAACCTCCAGGCATGCAAGCTCTAAACGCAAAGGATGATGATTCCTGCAGCAATTCTAAAATGTCAAAGAAATAATCAAAACTATTATTATGTATGCATTAATAATATCAGAGCTATGCTACCTTGAAATACTTTTTGATGAAAACCGCTGAGTAAACTATCCTGAGGATCATATCTGTTGCAGTCAAAGAAGGCCAGAAGCATAGACTATATGGACCGTCAATTAATCAACACATAACTTCTCAAATTCGAATGACCTCAATTAGAGAAATTTTGAAAAGGATACGCAGAGAGTTTGCTAAAATCAATCCAACTGCGCCTGCTGATCTGATAAGCAAGACGTTAATGATCACATATATCAATGGGAAGGCAAACAATGAACCATTTGACCGTTTAAGTTCTTTCTTTGTTGCAACTGCCTGTAGAAATGCTTCAGACGTCCCTAATTGAAAATGCAATATCTTATATTTCCAAACAAGCAGATAAAACAATCAACATTACTATGTAGCATAAAATTCGGCAAAAGCCAACTTCAGGATATCTTAACCGACAAACAAAATACAACCAAGTTACATTTGAAAAAATTTACCGCTCGTGGCCAAAACTATCACATAAAGGCAATAACATTGGAGTACTTTGGTAGCTTCTCCATCGCTCCATTTTCTACCATACAGCAATCTGATGAGGGAATATGAATAGCTTGGACCAAATGCGATAACAACTAAACCTGTCAATCAAAATGTTAAGCTTTAGGAGAAAAAGGAAAGGAAAAGATGTATTACTGGCTAAAAAACCGCATCATCAAGGGGACTAATACTACAATTCAAAGTCCAGAATTGGACCTTATTATGGAATATTTCTCACCGCATGGAAGAACAATAAACTGACTCGCTCAAACTGAAGTTAAATCCTTCCTATTGATAATTAATTCAATTTTAATAACTAAAATCTACATATTCATAAGCTACATTAAGATCTCTATAAAGCTACAAATCCAAATTAAAACTTAATTAAGAATTGATGTCCTAATTAAGTGAATAAAATGAGTCTGCTTGACCCCAAAAAAGTCAATTTTGCAACACAAACTGGGACAGAGGGAGTATAAGATATTATGTCAGTCCAAACAGCCGGTTCTTAAGGTCAACTCAAAATAATCTTGAAAAAATGTGCAAGTGGTATAATTGACCATTAAAAACCTGTACATCATCAAACATAACCGATTAATTTGTAACACCCAGTCACCTACCAATAAGCAAAACAAGCTTCAGCGCATCTGTCAGACTCCTTCCCAATTTCTCCTTTTTCCGTTCTTGATCTCCTGCAAGTGCACAACTCTTTTGTGATGAATGAATTTGCTCTAAATCTAAGATGAGAATAACTATTGGACGACATCAAGTTGGACATATATGGGCTTATAATCAATTCCTAGATTGAAAACTTATGTCCCTTTACTTGAACACATCTAGAAGGATCAGTTTTCTAATCCTTGTTTATTGAAGACTTTAAAACTACTCCGTATTGTTTTATTTGTTATCTAGTGTTAAATTAATTGAAATTCAGTCCATGGACACTTTATAGAATAGAACCGAGCTAAATTCACTTGGATTCCTTTGTTGCTAAAACTTGGAGGGACCTTGATATGATGTGACTCGTCCTAAAGCAACACGGACCAAAAAGAGCAGAGTATTGCGGAAAGAGTCTTCTAATTGTTGTTCTTGTGGGTATTACTGTTGTTATTATCCAAAGATTATTATTATTATTAGAATATTAGGATGTTTTACTTGGACTGAAGTTTTTAAGCCTGGTCTGGTCTAGTAGATATCTAGTCTATGTGTATTTTACAATTGTCAAAGTCTGGTCTGGTTTGGGACTGAAACCCAGTCCAAGTAAAAACTTCCTTAGTATCGGTTTCTTAGTATTGTTATTTGTAATTGTTTCCTATTAGTAATTGATATTCTAATTTTGTAATATGTTCCTAACAGAAATATCCCAATAGGTTAGTACTCCATTTAGTTGCTCTTAAAGATTTTTGAGTAGTAAAAATAGGACGTTTCTTTCATTAACAACATCATATAATTGCTAGCTTAATTACTGGCTGACAAAGTTGAGTCTCTCGACAAGTCCACCATATCAGGACCTTGCCCAAAGCATTTCAGTCCCTTTAGAATAATAGCATCTATATTCCTGTGGGATGGGTCATTTGTAAAATATAAACAAACAGATTCATAGTTTGATCATCTGTAAGAAGTGATCTCATAATTTGGGTTGTTCCAGTCAGCGACTACACTGCTACATATAAAGTACTACTAACTCCGCCCCCCAAAATTGGGAAAAAGGAGAGTGGTGCGGTTTTTAAGAAAAGTACAGTTATGTGTTTGATAATGAATTGATAAAGTGAAAATGAAGTAAGAATGAATTAGAGCCACATGAATATAATCAAATATGATATGGGACAAATTTAGTGGGAAGGACGGAAAAGGAATAATGGGACAATTATAGTGGGACGCAGGGAGTATTATTTATAACTGGACAACAAAATCATTCTATTACATATTTTAAGGAAATAAGCTTTTTAGGCCATGAAAATTAACTTTTTAGGATGCGACCCAAGTGAAAAATATACCTACATATACATGTACATAAGGATCTGATAAAAACCTGATGCAGGCCTTGCAAACGTTGCATATGAGCTTTCTTCAAAGGGAAGAAAAATCAGCCTCACCACTGGGCTCCCTGAAAAAGCAATATGTTATCTCTAGAGCACTGATCAAACAGTGCAAGGGAGATTGAAAAAGATATACACGTGCATGCATAGTCTATATCAAACATCAGATACTATACAAGGGTGGAGCGGGGGGAAAGGAACAAGTGAACGAAAGAAACCCCCCACCAAGTATATGGCCCAGGAATGATTTACCTAGTTTGTCTACAAGTCCATATACTGATTGGTGATATGGTGTATCACACCATACAAGGACCATCCTTTCACCTTCCTGAAGAATCAACTTCTGAACGGATTGAAGATTAAGTATCATGCACATGTTCACAAGCCGTTGATCATAGCTTTTTGTATTTCCTATCCTGCAACAACAACATTATCAGTACAGTGAGAACTAAAAGAACTAGTCTCTTAATCTATTGAAAACCCCTATTCAACTCAAATTAGGAAGCTACATTAAACTAAGAAAAAATTACATATTCATGACTAAAATAAAGATTGTTTACAAAAATGCGACTTGTGACTATAGTGGTAATGAAATTATAGTAATTATGTTCAATTTTTAAACTTAAGTTACCATGACACTATAGTAACTATTAGTCATATTTATGTAAGTAAATTTTATTTTAGTAATATTTTTGTAAAAAAAACCTTAAACTAATTCTTTCAGAAAATGCCATGCACACATGGTCCATGTAAGTGCACCAAGACCATTGGTTCTATTGGAAGTCAGAAGTGTTTTCTGGACGACGTCTTTTTAGGATCTTTAGGACAAACGGCCAACCAAAAACTGAAGCACCTTGTAACTGGATAAAATACATAGAAAGGGGTTCAGAGAACTACCAATGTTTAGAAAAGCTAAAATGTGCATTGAGCTGTTTTGAGTCTCGTCACAACGTATGATCATCAATCAAAGTGTAAGCCTCACCATATAAGATAATACCAATAGAAATTCAAACATTAAGTATAAAAACTTTGTTTTGTAACTTCGCATTTTGTATGAAATAAGTACTTATGTATAACTACTTCACTGTTTCATTATACATATCTAACAAGAATAAAAGATGGAAGTACTGTGGGCTACGGCAAATGCATTTTATCACAAGCACCTATTATAGACAATACTGATCTGGATGGCATCTATAAAAACCAGCAGCAATATTTGGATGATATCATTTTGGGATCTAGAAAAAATACTACACTTAAAAAGGGATGTATCTTCAACTTGTGACTTATCAATAATCACAGATACTTCTAAAAACAAGGGCATTATGCGTATGGGATGTGGCGAAAACATTTCCCCTTTTTACTCATTATCTCCTATAATGGGAACATTGCAGGGACAATGCAGTGATGCAACAAAGATTTTGTATTGATAGTCTGGAATAACTTCAAAATATTGGACAGAAGTGTAAGAAAACAAAGATTTATCCTTCCCGTATTTATAATCTACTGCATCTCTTATTATGAATAAACAGTGACATCAACTCTACAGATACATTACAGCATTATTATTATTATTAACTATTGTTTTGCTAACAGTCGACCGTGCACACATCACATCTTTGAACTTCATAGAATTCAGAGAGCTATTAAACTACCAAAACTTCATGCGATGAGTTGTTATCTAAGTAATCTAACAGGAGTCATTCACTGATAAGGGAACCTTCAACCGCGTTTGAATTCCATTATGAAACAAAATTTCTACCCTCCCCCCTTCCGCTTTTACATAGAAAGAATGCACAGCTGAAGATGATTGGAAAAATCAAAATCACTACCGGAACGGAAATAGAACACGAGTTGTGTATAATTGGCACAGAAGAAAGTATGCCCAGTAGCCTATGAAAATAGATGCTCCATACGCAACCTGTGACATCGAAAATACAATTGCTTTCTCCTGCAATTCATGTCATACGTGACTTATCAATAATCAGCAGGTGCAGTTAAACGGACTTGGAAACTACACAAACAGGTAAATTCAGCAATACAATGGCCAAGCAAAACATGAATATAAATTTACAAGTTATAGTTCAGGTAAAAAAAAACCCAGTCAGAATACAAGTGTGCTAACTGAATGTTCTCTAGATCAAGACAGTAAACATACCCAGTATGCCCCAGTTGAAAGTAAGGTCAAGGGAGGGTGACAAGTACATAAAGGTTTGGGAAAGTTGTGAAAGACATGGTCTAGCCTTTAGATAGCAAAGTCATCATACAAACAACTACAAGATGAACATCAAGTAGTGGAACTGTGAAAGGCAATATTTCTAAGAGAAAAAATTGAATCAGCCTTCAGACTCTAGAGTTAAGAGCTCAACTTGAAGCTTTACAAATATTGATGCAGTTACCACAGCCTTAGGAAATATGGTAATGAGGGGGAAATATTCTTCATAATTTCCAAGAACAGACTAAACATAAAGGGTAAGTTCTTTCTTTTAGTCATTTAGTGGTGATATGAAAGGAGATGAAAATTAGGATGCAATTACAAATGTAGATAATAATGCACTGACTAATGTCGTTACTTTCGAAAGTTAGTAGTTAGAAAGTTAGAACCTTATGTGCATGTTTGGTAGGCATAAGTCTCTACCATCTAGCTTTTGTACTATTTAAAAAGTCTCTAAAAGCTTCTAGTTGTTTGTTTGGCATGACAATTTTTAAATGTTTTTTTTTCAAAATAAAAGATTTTTTTGAGAAGCTAAACTGAGTAGCATTTGAGAACAATCTATAGCTTTTAGCAATAATTAGTCACTAAGTACACTGAATATACCAAACAGAACTAAATCAAACAATAAGCTTTTTATTAAACAGCTACCATCTTTTTCTTTTAGTCACTAAAAGCTTACAGTTACTAAAAAGCTCAAAAAATATTTTTGTAGCTAGTTGTGCCAAACATACCCTAAGACTTGAAATGTTGTATGTTTTTATGATTGGCATGCACATTTTATCATTTCTGTCTTGTTGACTTACTTTTTTTCCTTAAAAGAACAATACTATGTATATTCCAACATTTCAAATTTTGATGTCATTGAACTATCATTATAAACTACAAAATACCTATTTTACCCTGTTTATTATTACGTTATTGGTAGAGAACTCAACAACACAGTAGAGAATTAGTATAATAAATATTGATGAAAAGATTTCAAAATCCAACAGGATTACAATGGTGTAGAAAGAAAGAAAGAGAACATATACTATTGAGACACTTCGGGTAGTCTCACACTCCCAATTCCCAAGTCCCGGTCCCAATGTCCTCCCCCTTTTCCCCTTACCCGCTCATATAATACTATCCTAAAGGGCCGGCCCTCAGCCCTAGATTATTGGTCCTAGGACCCTTTTAATATACAATATTAATAGACTTGGTATTATTCGTATTAGGAGTGTCCGAGTCCCTCATCATCATCTTCATCATCATCATCATCATCATCATTACCCCAGTGCCGCAAAGGCTTCCAGCTACGGTGGGGTACGGGGGTCTGATGTAAGCAGTCTTACCCTTGTACTAAAGCACAAAGAGACTGTTTCCGGATGACCCATAGTGAGAATCGCGTTGAAAATTACATGGACTAACTGCTGCTTCATAACAAAGATGCGCAGACAGTTTAATGAGTCATTTTGCTTTATTCCATCATATTCTCAAGCCAAAAAATAGTGAGTCTTTGGCTCCATTGTAAATAATGGAAAGACTTTAGCCTTATGCCTCGTGAGGCAGGCGGGCGACTTAGGCTTTCAAAACATTGTTTATTAGACTAAAGTATTAGAGTATTCAGGATTGAAGCATATATTTCTAAAACAAATAATGCAAGGCTAAGTAAATGTCCTATTCACTACTTGACCTTTGATACAGAGTAACTACCAAACAACAGTTTAACTATGCAGACCTAAGTACAAGTTCTTCACATCTTCTATGCAGCGGTGGAGCAGATGTGTCCACCAAGGTTGTCAAAATCGTGATTAGAATTGTGATAGGAACCTGGGCCTAATAGACTAATAATAATAAAAATAAGGGACCGGGCCTATTGGAGTATTAATAATAAGAAGTGTATTGTCTAGTATAAATAGAAGATAGCTGGGGAGAGTTAGGCAGGCTGTTTTAGACTTTGATTTTGGGACTTTGGGAGATCGAGAACTATTCTCTTTCTTTGGGGGGCTTCGGCTCATTTGGGGGCTTCGGCCATACTCTCTCTCTCTCAATCGTTGTTACAGATTCTGTTCATCTTCAATAAAATTCTCAAATTGTTCTTGTTGATCTCTCTGTAACTTTACTGCTAACCTGGAGGATTCTATCAAATTGTAAAATCGTCTGGTTTCATGATTCAAACTAGTTGTGCCAATCCAATCACAAAGAAAATTGTAATTGAGTAAAAATGGTCAAAATCATTGGAATCATGTCAAATCGCGGTGTTAGCTATCTGTGCAATTTTCAAATATATCAAATTAAACTCTAGCCTGCAACTCAAACAAATCAAAGGTAGTCTAGAAGAATCAAATCCAGTTATTTTTGTGTTTATTAAGCGTCAAACTGAAAGAGAAATATATAAGCTATTTACCACTGAATCAAAATCTTAACATCGAGCCAATAGATCACCGATTGCATTCTTCTCCATAGTTCTTGTTATTCAAATTAAATGAGACATTGAAGGAGATAGGAGATGGTATATTTCACATGTCTTCTCTCCGGGCTTTTTGCTATTGATTGCTATGCCCCGTTTCTTTTTTGGTGTATGTGGCTGATAAAAATGGCCGTTTTTTGAAGGAGAGAAACCATGAAAAGGGAAGTGCTTGGATTTGTAGATTTGCTAAGTGGGTAACTTTACAGGATGGGTTAGATCACATTTGAAGTGGTTTTAACCCATTTTTTAATTTATTAATCAAACTTTTATTTTTAATTTTCTTGTCACTAATTTTAGGACTTTTTAATCACTTTTAGTAAAAAAAAATCGATTCATGATTTCGTGTTTTATTTAGTTCACCAGTTCGATTCCAATTTACGGTTTTGACATCCTTGGTGTCCACATTATGAAATACGAAATGTAATTCATCTAGGTCTTATTACTCTTATCATATCACACGGGACTCGCATAAGTTTATTTTACCATACTGAATTACTGATACACTTAGGATGTTTTCTTTTGGACTGTTTTCAGTCCCAGACCAGACCAGACCAGACTTAAACAGACCAGACCAGACCAGACTTAAACAGACCAGACCAGACCAGACCAGACTTAAACAGACCAGACCAGACCAGACCAGACTTCCGTAGTTATAAAATACACAGAGACCAGACGTTTATCAGACCAGACCAGACCAGTTCAGACCAGACCAGACTAGACCAGACTTAAACAGACCAGACCAGACTTAAACAGACCAGACCAGACCAGACCAGCAAATTTCAGTCCAAAAGAAAACATCCTTAATACCAGCATAGGCCCCGCAAGGAAACCACAAAACACATCTAGCATTACTACTTACCGAGCTTGGTTGCTTCAGGATGAGAGCATATGTTACTATACAACGTGAAAGAGTGGCAGCAGTTTCAACAATCAGCCGCAATTTGAGAAGAGCCAATTTTTGGGCCAAAATAAAGAATGGTTCTGCCAGTAGCTCAAGAATGCATGCAAAACCTGCATGTGATTTTTTTACATATTAAAACACAATTCACAACTATTGAACAAAAAAATGATGGAAGAAAACTTAATTACAGAGTATACTAAACAACCATTCTCTTTCTCCACCAGAAAATATGATCAGAAGGTAAAGAGCACGCATGCAAACCCATTTTCAACAATCCGCTCCCCACAATCAATTATTAATGAATAATGTCAGGTGCTTATGCTTATAGTAAAAACCTTTGAACAATAATAAAAAACCAACAGATGACACAGACAACAATTAAATGGCAACATTAATAAAGCAAAAAAGGACCGAAACATTTAAGTTTGCCTCTTGGACTCTTAGTGCCGTTAAAAGTTGAGCTGTCACTCCCGGAATATTTATTTTAGCTTTCCCCCAAAAATGCATTCCGAATTTAGAATCACCTTTTTATTAACTTTGTCCAATTCTAACAATCTACAACCCTTAAGACATAGCTTGCGTGTTAATGCGCTAGGATAATTAATTTCGTGAAGCATGTGATAGTGTTATTAGCTTCTTACCATTAATCAAGATAGCTCGTCCATAAGGACTGGAATAACCCAGATCTTGCCACCAGAATACAATCAAACAAGCAGAAAATGTGACCAGTACCCCTAATGGGAAGGTCATCCAGGCGACTTTCAAAATCTGAGCTTCAGTTTCTCCTGCTGCTGAATCACCATCCCTGCAAAATCAAATTTTCAGATTACTTTAACAAAAACGTACGGAGATGCAAAATTAACATTTCACGTGTGCTTGATTTCAGTACATTCATCACCATCACCACCTTAATATAAACAATGTTGGGTCAGCGGCATGAAAGTGATGTCATATAATGTAAGAAATAATGTAAGAAATAATGTAAGAAATAATGAAATATTCAAAACCATCACCGATCATTGATAAAAGTTACTCATTACAGAGAAAATATCATGAGACAGCTTGGGTTGAGATAGTTGATATAGTCGCTATCTAATGCACCAGACCACTAAGCAAAAAATTACCTTATATGAAACAAAATGAAAGAAGCTTTATGTATCCAGACATGCAGTCTATGCCATCTATATGAAAAATAATGACAAGGAATCTGCAGGGTGCTATGACCATTTGAAGAGAGCAGAAAAATAAAATATCAACGGGATAAACTGCTGCCCAGATAATCAACGATAAAAACTGTTGCCCAGAGCCAAAAGGCTAAAATCTAACTTTATTACATGATGGCCAAGAATGAATCAAACGAGGGGTTTAAATAACCCTTTAAGTCTAGAAAGAATAGGAATCCTAATTAAATCATAATAGGAAACCTCTAATTCTAATTGAAGTCCAAATTAAACCATTCTAGGAAACTAAATAGAATAGGAAACATCTAACTCTAATAGAAGTCCTAATTAAATCATACTAGGCAACAAAATAAGATAGGAAACATGTTAAAAGGAAATAACTAAAGGAATTAGTTAAAATAACTAAGCCAGGCCACGGAAGGTGAGCTCAAGCCCGTCCCCGCCCCATGTTCTTCCTGCTCTCTATCAATCCATCCTCCTTTCAAATAACCTTGTCCTCAAGGTTGAAATCTCGTAGATCGAGGGCTGAAAATTCCAGCCACAGAATAGAGTGAAAAATATCCCTCATCTCCTTCCGGACCCCCTGGCATTTGTGAACCTTTTCGTGGCCGGTTATTTCACAATACTCATGTTGTTGGAGATCCAACTCCCCATCCTCCTCAACTATCATTACCCATAGCTGCTTAAAGGAGCAGTCATGCCCCGGTGTAAATGGCTTCTCACACCTAAAGCATAATCCTTTTGCCCGCAATTCTGCTAACTCTTTCGGCAGAAGTCGATTGAACCTAGAGCGTGCAATAGAGTGCCCGGACAGCCCTGAATTTGTCCCCGGGGGCTGCCCACTATCTTTTGGGAAGCTGCAATTCGATCCCTGTATGCTGCCACCACTGGCAGTCAGCAGAGGACCCGTGTTTGGCAGTGAAAAGCTGCTGGAACGTGTCCCTATAGGATTATATTTGGACTGCCTCTTCCTCCACTCTGAACCGACAGATTGTACTCCACATCGCGAGCTAACTCCATGGCCTCTTCCAAGTTATTTGGTCGAAATAAGCGCAACGAGCTTCGGATTGATTCTTTCAGTCCATTCATGTAGTATCCCAAATAATGTTCATCAGACAACTCCGGAACTTGGCTGGCCAACTGAACAAACAGGGTATCGTATCCTCCACTAACCCATCCTGTTTGATGCCGGACAGCCGTTCAAACTTGTTCCCCTTAAATTGGGAGTCAAATCTGGCCACCAAAGCTTGCTTGAATTCCTCCCAGGTCATGTCGGGTTTGCGTGCTCTCAGCCAGGTTACCCAATAGAGGGCAGCCCCTTCCATGGCAGCCCTAGTGATCCACATAATCGGGTCTTTGCCGTCAAACGAGGGAATCAGGGCGGTGCTGCGCAACCCTCCGTCGATTGATTGCGCAGATGCGACGTGCGCGAAAGAGCCACTGTCGCTGGCCGATGTCAAATATATTCTAATAAAAGTCCTAATTAAACCATTCTAGGGAACTAAAAAGAATAGGAAACCTCCAACTCTAATAGAAGTCCTAATCAAATCATACTAGGCAACAAAATAAAATAGGAAACATTATAAAAGGGAATAACTAAAGGAACTAATTAAAATAACTAAGCCAGCCAACGGAATGTGGGCTCAAGCCCGTCCATGCCCCACGTTCTTCCGGCTCTCTATCACCATGTTCCATTAAAATCGCATCATTACATATCAAAAATTAAAAGGAAGCAAGTCACTCAGGCATACTGAAGGCAACCAACTGGGTGAGACAAGAATTGGGGGATCAACAAAATGTGCATATTGAAGGCAATAACAATGCTCATGAACCCAATTGAAAATACCATGTAATATCTTCCCTCATGCAAATTCGCCTGAATCCCTCTCTACTCAAAAACAATATGCATGTCACAAACAGATGGAATCGTACAGCACAAACCTGCATTGTGTAAAAATAAACTTTACATGGTACTTCAAGATACAAAAAAAAACAGGTAGCATTTACAGAAAAGTAATAATTCTTCAAGAAGATTTGGGATATATTGAAACTAGACATTGTTAAATCACATTCTTATTTGCCACACATTCATTGGGCAATGAAAAATAGTTCTGTGATCATCAATCAAACAGACGTGTGCCACATAGGAATGTCTATCAATAATGCATCTTTTTCATTTCCGCAAAATTACTCACCGTGCTTACATACATATCGTCTTACATGCATATCGTCTTCTACAGAGACAGAAATAAAAGGATCACTTACATAAAATCATATTAATTAAAATGCATAATTTAAATATAGTGAGGCTCCAAGACTCGAACTATGCTCTTGATAGTTGATATCTTTGCAAATGCCCATGTTAAACTTTGAAAGGGCCTGAATAAGTCCAGTGTAGGGTTGTAAACGCATAGAATAATTTATGCTCGATTCGCAATTCGAATTCGTATAAGGTTATTCGGATTCGAAAATTTCAAATACAAATAAGAATACTAAATTTGATTAATGGTTATCAAATACAATGAAGAATATCAATGTATTGGATTCGAATGTTAATCAAATATATTCGATAAATAATAGTGATAATAGTAACAATAATAATAGTGATAACATTATTATAATTATTAAAAGATAGATATACCCGCAAAGTGTAGCCCATGTATACATTTATGTACACAAATTCCAAGCCTATTTGTAACAAATCAGAAGTACCATACGGAGTAAGGGTTGTAAATGAAGCAAATAACTTTAATTCGATTCGTGATTTGAATTCAAAAATATTGATTTATTTTTGAAAATATAAAATATAAATAGAAATACAAATCGGATTTTTGGTTCAAATATCTTTCAAATACGAATACAAATGATTATGTATTCAATTCAAAGAATAACCAAATATATTCGTTTATACATATACAAAATCAACTACATAATATGCATGTGCATGTATCAACTATCCTCTATGTGTGTGTAGTTTAAATTATTCTCCGTATATCTAATGGATTTTTATTAGCAGCAACGCTAAATATAAAACATAAAATTAGAGTAGTTTGACTTTAGTATATACAATTATCAACTTATTTCACACATGATAAGTATAATTTCTAATATGTGTGCGTTAGTGTTCATTTCAAAATGTTTCGAATAGATGTATATTAAAAAAAATCATAAAATTGATTCACTATATTATACACAATCTAAAAGTGCATTGATCCATTAATTTTTAAGAAAATATAATGTTACAAATCAAATTCTAAAAAATCATATTAAGTCACAACATTCATTTATAACATAAAAATATAGGAAAAGTTATTTTGAAGTGATATTTGACTAATATTTAACTTATGCTCAAATCGATTCGATATTCGTATATGATTCGTTAACTATTCGTATTGTTAAACAAATACAAATCGAAATTTATATTCGTTTCATATTCGAATTTGGATTTGTATTCAAAAAAATTAAACAAATACAAATACAAAATCTCACTATTCGACTCGATTCGGTTCCATTACAACCCTAGTCCAGTGTAACCATTCTCAATCAATTTCGAGAAGACACGTGAATGTTCAACATACCATTTTTATAATAACTCGTGATGGACCGACAAGTGTTTTTCTTTGAGTTCTGATTTAGCCAAACCATCAGATTTAATTGCTTCCAAACAAAGCATAAACCATCAGCATGCTTCCATCATTTCTCATAAAGTTGATTACAAATTCTCAATCGCCAAGAAGAACAAATTCTTTTTCCTCGATATACTACCATAACTTTTTTACATTCTCTCCCCCAAAGCAAAGCTACTAAACCATAAGGAATTATTGAAACTAATTATAAAAACAATAGTTAGAGTTCAAAAAACTGTAATTTACCACATAATCTTCTTCTGATAGATGTCTAACAATCCAGGAATTGAATACGAACGGGATTCCCCTTGACAGAAATTGTGTAGCTGAAAATGGAGATCATTGTTATACACGTATACAGTTATGTATAATACTGGACCACACAGGGAGGACATTTAACTTAATATTCAAATTGACAAACCTAGTAGGTATTTGAAAGTGCGGTGGAAACTCGAATCAACAGCGGTGTTTTCCATTTCTCTTTTAATAGACTTGTTTTGTTTCCCTGCATCGGTATAGTAAGTGTTGTTTTGGGTTAAAATATACGGAGTATATAAATACTTGTGAAGTGAAATTAAATTTATAAACGGAAGCAGACCCCTAAAATCGGCAAGGCAGGGGAGCTTGTTGCGTCCCTGAAATTCCGGTCTCTAACGAGGCGAGCGGCGGCAAGAGGAATCTGGAAGGCCGGAATGAGAAACTGAAAGTCGGAAGTTCTGCCCGGAGTCTGGACGCGTCAACCGTCCGCTTCCTATTGTCTGTTGCTGCGCACAGGATGGCAGGAGGGATTGAGGGGCTCTGTTGGGCTGAGTAGATGGGCACTTCGGCTAGCGGGCTGTGTGGTGGGCTGAGTGGTTCAGGCTAGAGAAATGAGCATGAGAATTAGAGCCCATTTGGTAATACACAAATCGACTGCATTGACTTATTCTGCTGAAATTTATGAAGTTCTGGTCGAAGTGACAGTATTGGCTGATTTATGAAAGAAAGGTTATTAAGTAAATATCTTATTATTTCAAAAATCAAGCATTCAGCGCGCAAAATCAAAAAGCGAAAAATATCGTCACCAAATAGGCTCTGAATTTGGATTGTTGGACAATATTATGTGAAAATGAATTGTGTTTAAATGTGCATTAGAAAAAATTGAATTGTGAATAGCAAAAGATAAAGCTCAATTATGCGTCTATATTAGGTAAAATTGAAATGTGTAGAATAAAAGGTATAAAGATGTCACCGCATCGTACATTTTATTCTGCACATTTCAGTTTCACCTAATGCACGATTCATCTTCAAATAATTTCACTGTGTTATACCCTTTGTGATTCATATTTCAATTTTATCTAATTCACACTTCAGTTTCATCTCATGCACATTCAATCTCACATAACACAATCTAACAGTTCAGATTCGTCTTCACATAGTTTCTATATTAGTTATATAAATAACACTAATGTATATGATATGGTGTATCCTTGATATTAAAAAATTATATTGAAAATTAAGTATTAATATAAGAACCGAATAATGCTCAATTCGTTTAAAATTTAAACCTAGAGAAAATATTGTTTTAAAACAATTTATTCTTTTTTGGTGTATTTACCAACCTGATGTCTGTTATATGTTCTATCATCGTTAATATAAAAGTGTGGAGTAGGAAAAAATGTGTAACCTTTTCATCCATGAAAATCATTTCAATGGATTTGATGGCTCGACTTTTCTCTCCAAAAAGGGCATTCCATTTCCGAGTCACTCTCACCAGGAAAGCAGAATTGCTTGGTAAGTTCTTCACAACGTCTCCCAGATACACCTTTTTAGGCGCCATTGTTCCTATAAATGAAGTAGATGAGAAAGATAAAAAAAAATAGAATTCATGAAGTGGTTGTGAAAGATAAAAAAACATGAATAAATTTACAAAATAGAAAAAATAATATCTAAAATCACAAGAAAGAGTAATTAATATAGCAATCAGAAATGTCATAGATAAAAGAGAATCATATAATAATCTGGAATGACTCCTAATGATAAATGTCAGAATTTTTTTATTTGTGAATAAAAAGGTGGCAATCTATCCAACCACAATTTATCATTATTCATTAAATAATTAATAAATACCTTCATATAAAATCTCAAGAAAGAGTAATTAGTATAAAAAATCTCAAACGTAATATATAAAAGAGGGTGACAAAATAATCTGCTAAGATTACTAATGTTAAATATCAGAATTTGGTTTGGTGAAAACCATACTTGGTGAACAAAATTTGCTCACCAAACTAAACTTGCTTTAAAGATTTAGCCACACTAATGAAATTAAGCTGTCAAGAGATATGGTCCGAAACTCTGATAAGACACTCACAGCAACTTCTAAAGAAAGTATTCATGCAGTCCAAACCTAGTGAGTAAAAATGAGCCAATTATGCTCAATTGGATAAAACCTAGTGATAATTTTGGTTTAAACCATGTATATTTTATATGTCATATTAGCTTAAAACTGATCCAATTGCATGCAGTCCAAACCCAAAAAAAAGTCAGCACCTAAGCGTTATTCATGTAGTGTATAATCATTAACATGTAAAACTACAGTTAGTAGAACATATAAATTAAACATAAAGGACTCAGTAGGCAAAAAAGTCTGAGTAATGATACCACAAATTCCCAGGGAGACATATTTGAATTTCTTCAGCTGCACTTGAGAGGTGAGCCTATGTCAAACTGGAAAGGGCATTTATTACATGTGATTATTGAAAAGTATAGGAATGAAAAGTACAGGAATAAGTGAAACAAAGAACATATTCATACCCATTAATTGCAGCATAACCTTCAAATGTATCATCAATCTTTCTTTTATTCATTCCAACTACAGTAGGTCCATCAACCTTATGTGAAATGGCATTATCTCCTTGCATGACAGGATCCTAAGATGAACAGGTTATTCATCTCATTTGGTTTGATTTATTTTCGATCTTAAAATGTCAGATCCATTTCCTAATGTGAACACTTTCTTGAAATCCTTGGTCTCCATCTCTGAACTGAAACTAAGATTACCAATTTGGTGGATTTGATTCCTTATCATTGAACCCCACCATCCAAACTTGTCAGCAGAAAAGAGACTTCCTGAAATGGTTCAACATGGAAATTTAAGATACTGAACAATTATAAGCAAACCAGGCAGCCCTGCAATTAGCCATATGTGTATCTTTCTTTCATGAAGCTATAATTGAATATATAATCTATATATACATAAACCAAAATTGATCAACTGGACTTAATTATCAGAAATTTAAATCTGATAATGAAGATTGTAAGAATAATGAATGGGAAAACTTAACTTTATGAAGAAGGGTATGAGATTATATTTGAAGAAGAAAGCTATAAGCCCCATGTCCTCCCCAGCGATGGAGATATCCTCTTCCACTGTGGCTGAGAGAGGTAGACGGAGGTGGTCAATATCTTCAATTCTAGCAATGATCGCCGGCTTGGTGCCTTGGTTTGGAGGGTTTCTAAATACGATGGATAAAATGGAGCCGTGACGCGGTGAATTGACCATACCCTAAACTGAATCGGATGGATTTGAAAGTGAAGTGTGAATTATGGAAGAAGAACTCATCGAAATCACATGAGTTGCTTCTGGTGGAATTGGAGAAGGAAAGAAAAGGTGGAAAATTGGAGAAATACGGGTGTAGGCTGAAGAGGATAAGGGAGGAGCGATTAGCCTTAGCGAAGAAAATTACGGAATAGACCTTTGCACCAGGGCAGAACTTTCTCGCTCCAGTGTAGTGCTTTTAGGTATAGGATAGGATACGATACAATGAAAAGCAGAAAATCTTATACTACCTCCGTCCCATTTTACTTAGCCATCTTTGACTTGAAAAGTCAAGTTTGGCTAAGTAAATTGGGACGGAGGGAGTATTTTATTAGTTATAGGACAAATAATACAAAAAAGTAATCAATATATAATTAAAGTAAATGGGGCGGGCACAAACAAGTAATGGGCGTGTGCATGTACAAAACTGTAACTGCTCGGGTTACCATAAAAATGGGCATTCTCCTCTCCATACCCGTTACACGATCAATGCAATTTTCCAAGTTTTGAACGAAGTGTTTCCGTGCGGGTATTCATTGGATTTGTCATAATTTTCATCTCTACATTTGACTTACATATGTACAGACCAGCCACTTGATTACCAAAGTTGAACTAAGCATTATGTAGTTCAAATTTCACAAATTACAATTAAACATTAATTGATAGTCGATACGTAAATATGTGATATGGAGTATCACTTTAGGAAAATGAAAACAAAATTCTATTATCTACCTAAATCTAGGGCTGGATTCGGGCCGGGTCAGGTCCGGGCCTAGTCCAGGGCCGGGCCTAGTCCCGGGCGGGCCGCCGGTTCTGAATAGGTGGACCCGGGACCGGCCCGAATAGCCACCGAGTCCAGGCCAGTCCGGGCCAGGCCTCGAGCTAATTAAAAATTTTTTTCCTTTTTCTAATTACCCCCGGCCCCCCACCCCGACCCCCCGCCCGACCCCTCCTCCTCAGCCCATACCCCCCAAACCACCCCAAATGGCCCAAAATACCCAGTCCAACCAAGGGATTTAACAAAATTGAAAAAAAAATAGTTTGGAACCGAGCCCGGACCGGCCAGGCCGGTTCATATTTTGGGTGACCCGAGCCCGGATCGGAAACCCCTCGGGTCGGGTCTACCCGGACCGGTCACTGACCGGGCCACCGGTTCGGGCCGAGTCCACATCTACCTAAATCATATGGACTAAAAGGTTATGTTGTTGGGTAATTATTATACTATTTTTGTACAAATTTAACTTTAAGAGTGGATTCTAACAAATCAAATTTCCACAACTCTAATACATATTGGAAATGGTTTAAAACTTCATTCAGTGGAGGAGAAGTGCACAATACAATGACAAATTTTGTGTGCAAAAAGCTTTGAATTAGTTTATAGCTTTTGAACACTCTCTAATACTTCGCGCATTCATATTTTCAAAACTACAATAAATTATATACATATTAATGCTTTTGAATCGACCATTCTTATATCTTAATAAAATATTATTGCACAAGTTCTTCTTTACTCATACTCCATCCGTCCCATGGGATTTTAACAACTTTCTCTTTCGATTGTCCAAAAAACTGTCTCTTTCTCATTAAAGTAAATAATTTATGATTTTGCTCATTTATCTCTCTTCTAGACAAAACTCAATTACACAACATTTTTAGTTTTCTTATTTCTAACCTAATTCAAAGGGTGCAATGTCCACCAAGATGGAGGTAATATTATAAATTTACATGATTGTGTGAATATCATTAATCTCCATTAGGCTTGGAACCGGTTCGGGCCACCCGGTCAGGGAACAGGCCTAGCCCAGTACTATGTGGGCCTAAGGATGGCAATGGGGGCGGGGGCCGTGGGGAACCGCCCCGTGGTGGGGAGTTGGGGCGGGTGGTGGGGTGGGGCGGGTGGTTGGGTGGGGGAGATATTTTCTCCCCGCA